TATATAAAATGATTTTATAAAATTTTATTAGATTTATTTGGACATCTAATTTAATTTTATGAGTTTTAGAAAATATTTACTGCCGTAGTATTTTTCTAGAACTGTCTGGGGTGAGCGCGGTTCACCCGGTGTATGTATATCTCTATTGCTTGTGTGGATGTATGATATGCATGGTGGATGATTGTGGCTATAGTTTATTTGATTATAATATGGCCTGCGTGTCGTGCCTTATCTCTTAAACTCTTGTTGTAAATCTATTTCTCTCTCTTACCTCAACCGAGGATTCTTTTCTCACGTGGTGGTTTGAAGACGAAAAGATTTGAAGACCGTTTGGAGAAATCTAAAAGAATGGAGATAGCCCGAAGTCCAAGTGCCTGGAAGCCAGTGGGAGCTATCGTTTTATTTTTCTTTTAGGGGCCACATTCATTACACGTTTATTTACTGCGTTTTGTGAATGCATGTTGAATGTATGTTGAACGCTAGTAATGGACATGTGCGCGGCCATGTCGATAGGTGAGATCAAAATTATAAATCCCTCACGAATATTAAGTCTATTGCCTTCTGACGCCCGGCACCTATCCGGCTAATGTGCACTGTCATGTACTCAGCCTTAGCAGAGCATAGTACGGTGTATGTTAAGCTGGTTACGGGAACCGCCATAGCATGGTCGCTGTCGCACGTTGGGTTAGACTTAACTGAGTCTCGGTCAAATGGATGGACGACTCAGAGGCAGTAACTTGGGGTCATCAATGACAAGTCAGATGATTTTACTCACTCATCCAGCCAGGAGTTGGATCTTTATGATTTAATTGGAACTCTGTTCCTAACCAAAGTAGTTTGCTTGTAAGACGTGCCTCAGCCAATTACAAGTATGGTGAAAAGGTGTCCTGGTCCGGTTGAAGTAATATTGTTCGCCCAACACCAGACCAAGAGCTGAGAGCCCGGCTCATCAGTTGGAACTATGTTCCTACCTAAATAGTTGTCTTGTGGAGTAACGCCCAAGCGGAACACAAGATAATGAAATATGGATCTTGGCCCACTAGAGGTTTTGCCGGAAATCTCCGAATCAATATCGAGGGTTATTGATTTGTTAAAAATAGTGGGAGATAATTAATTAAAGGCCTAATTAATTATTAAACATGATAGATAACCTAGTTTGCAAAATTTTCTGTAGATGGAAAACAACAACAACCCTTTCAACCTGCGTTACATCCTGGAAAACAACAAGTTATCCGGGACCAACTTTCTTGACTGGGAGATGAACCTCCGGATCGTTCTTGACTGTGAGAGGAAACTCTACATCTTCGAAACGGATCCTCCCAAGACCCCTGATGCTGATGCTTGTGTGTTCGAACTCACTTCCTACAAGAAGTATGAGGACGACGCGCGAGATGTAAAGTGTATCATTATGGCCAGTATGACCGCGGAGCTCCAAAGGCTCCACGCGGACATGGAAGTGCGTCCTATGATACAGTGCTTAAGAGACCTTTACCAGGGTCAGCCCCAAAACTCAGGAATTTACGTTATCGAAGTCAATATGTCTGATATCACCTCTTGGGTGATGGATACTGGATGTGGTTCTGACATCTGTACTTCTATGCAGAACTTGCATGAATGTAGACAATTGACGGAGGGAGAGATACAACTAAAAGTCAGCAATAGCGCACTCATCTATGCATTGGCCGTCGAAAGCTATAGTTTATCTCTACCTAGTGGTCTTATATTGCATTTGAATAATTGTCTGTTTGTACCTAGTATGAGCAGAAACATCATTTCTGTATCCTGCCTTGACAAAGCAGGATTTTCGTTCGTTGTAAAAGACAAAACTCTTTCTGTCCTTAGAAATGATATATTTTATGCAAGTGCAAAAATGACCAATGGTCTCTATGTCCTTGACATGGATACCACAATATATAACGTAGATGTTAAGAGAAACAAATCCAACAGTTTAAATCTCGCGTACCTTTGGCATTGTCGTTTGGGCCACATTAACGAGAAACACATATCTAAGTTACATCGTTCTGGTGTACTTGATTCATTTGACTTCCAGTCATATGATGTATGTAAATCTTGTTTACTTGGTAAAATGACAAAGGCTCCATTCACCGGTCACGGTGAAAGGGCGAGTGACTTATTGGGCCTCATACACTCCGATGTCTGTGGTCCAATTAGCACTGTAGCTAGAGGTGGTTATTCTTACTTCGTTACATTTACTAACGACCTTAGTAGATATGGATATGTGTATCTCATGAAACACAAATTGGAATGCTTTGAGAAATTCAAAGAATTCAAGAACGAAGTAGAAAAACAATTAGGCAAAAGTATTAAGACCCTCCGCTCGGATCGAGGAGGTGAATACTTAAGCCTGGAGTTTGATGACTATCTGAAAGAGCATGGGATCTTATCCCAACTCACTCCTCCGGGGACACCTCAGTTAAATGGAGTGTCTGAGAGGAGAAATCGGACTTTGCTAGACATGGTCCGGAGCATGATTAGTCTGACAACATTGCCAGAATCATTTTGGGGATATGCATTGAAAACAGCAGCACACACACTCAACAGAGTTCCATCTAAAGCTGTCGAGAGCACACCATACGAACTATGGCGTGGGAGAAAACCGAGTTTCTCGTACTTTAAGATTTGGGGCTGTGAAGCTTATGTAAAACGTCTCATGACGTCTAGTAAGTTGGAGCCTAAATCTGATAAAGTAATTTTTGTGGGATACCCCAAGGAAACTAGAGGGTATGAGTTCTATCATCCATCCGATAACAAAAT